TAAATTCTACCATATTGTGAGTGTCAAAAAAGTTTAATTGTCGATATATTTTCTTGCCTGAAATTTTTTTGCTTTAATATATATGTGAAACATTTGCTTTTAAGAACACCTGGTGGTAAAACCTGGGATGTTTTCGGCCCAAGCAACTTAATGTCTACGTATTTAGTAGCCTTTGTGATTGCGGAATTCAATCAAATTGAAAACGTTACAAATTCATTTGAATTTAAAGTATGGTCTAAACCATCCACCATCGATCAGACTAATTATGCGTTAAAAATTGGTACTGCAGCCCTCGATTTGTTTAGTGAAAAGTTTAATCAAAATTATACATTTCCTAAAATGGACATGGTGGCCATTCCTGACTTTGATGCCGGAGCTATGGAAAATTGGGGATTGGTAACATATCGCGAAAGCCGAATGCTGTACGATGAGAAAGAATCATCGGCGTTAGCTCAGCAAGATGTGGCTTCCGTGGTCGCTCACGAACTTACGCATATGTGGTTCGGAAATTTAGTAACACCACAATGGTGGAGCTACCTTTGGCTTAGCGAAGCGTTTGCCTCATACTTTGAATATTTCGGTACCGCACTGGTAAGACTGAAGATTTTATTGTATTTTATATAACCATCATCGAATATAGTTAAAATATAATTTTGAAAAGAAAAACGAGATTTATATAAATGTCATAAATTTAATTAATTTTTTTACAAAATTTAATTTTGCTCAATCCATGTAATCATACATTACATTAACATTCTTAAAAATAAATGATTGATTCATCTCGACATTCATAATAATATCAAAAAATGTAAAAAAAAGTCTTATTTTTACAAAATTTTTTAACATTTTTTTACATTATTTTACAAAAATTCAATTAATAAATTTTGCTTTTGTATTCTAACACTTTTATTTGTTATAGCTTGAGGATACATGGAACATGGCGGAACAATTCGTGGTAGATCAACATCAACCTGCATTAATAGCGGACGGTCTTGAATCTTCTCTTCCGATGACTCGGGACGTTTTTAGTACATCGCAAATCGAAGAAGTGGGAGATACTATTACCTATTTTAAAGGAGCCAGTATTCTACGTATGATGAGCCACGTATTTGGAAACGAAATTTTCGAAGAAGCATTGCGCAGCTATATAAAAAATAAGTAAGTACAGTAAACTATTATTGTATTTTAGAAAAATTAATTAATTTACTAAAAGATATTCGATTTTAAAATATTTATTGAAAAAACTGCATAACTTATAAAATCAGGAATAGTTTGTGAGAACAACTATTTTAATTAAATATACAAATCTTTTTTTTTTAATTTAGCCTTTATTATTAATTTAACATATATTATTTTTTACGCAAGAAATTGATTTATTACTATACTCGATTATATATTGTATAGATTAAAATCATTTTAAATCACTGATATCTCATAAAATCTCTTAATGTCTCTTTCCCTTAATACGTTTGAAGGATTATTACAAACATAATACATCTTTTAGCAAAGAGAAAGGATTAGGCCATCCAGACACTTTATGGGAAGCAGTAAAATCAAGTTTATATATTGATGTAAAAACAATAATGGATTCTTGGACTACAAAAGCCGGATACCCTGTTGTAACAATCGCTATTAATGACAACGGTATAATGAATATTACTCAAGAACGCTTTCTTCTGAGAAATTTGAATGAAACTTCTACGGATACCACTTGGTATGTCCCAATCACGTTTACTACACAAACAGATCCAGATTTCGATAACACAATTCCAAAATATTGGATATCTACCAAAAGAAGTACCGCTTATTACGAAATTAATCCAGAAGACTGGATTATATTCAACATTCAATCATCAGGTTAGTATAGAATAGTGTTTTTAACTACACAAAAATAACATATAGAGCTATATGTGAATATGTGATAGTAATATCTAATACACGTTATTTTATTAGACAATTATACTATTATTATATGTTAATTATTAAATTGTTATTAATTGATAGAATGTATTATATTAAAAAAATACTTTGACAAAATAATTTTGTGACTAAAACATTAATTTTGATATTTTTATTACAGGTTTTTATCGTGTTAATTATGACAGCCGTGGATGGCAAAAGATTTTCAATGTCTTGAAACACGGCAACCTGGATGATATTCATGTATTAAATAGAGCCGGCATTGTAGATGATCTATTAAATCTGGGTAGAGCAAAATATCTAAATTATGATACGATTTTAGAAGGATTGAGTTATCTTAAAAGGGAAACTAATTATCTGCCCTTTAAAGCAGCATTTAATGGTTTCGAATACCTAAATAGGCGATTTACAGGACACGACATTCAACATCCTTTTATCAAGGTTTATTTTTGTTAATTACAGAACACTAATTTCCACATATAATTAAACAAACAAACTTATTTTAATTATAACAGAAATTCTCAACTATAATTGTCTATCATACAAATTTTTTTGAATAATTTGCAATTTCTTTTTTTATAAAATTATTTAAATGCACATTCAAGCAATTAGAATTATAAGATATTTATATAAATTCAAGTAAAAAATATAAAAAATCTGTTATACATATTATTTTATAACAATATTTATTTTATATTTCTTTTCTAGAGCTATATCTCGTCTCTTATCGATGGCATAAACGCTCAACTAGGATATGAAGATCAGGAATATGATGATAGATTAACAGTTTTGTTACGACAAGAAGTCAATAATTGGCTCTGTAAGCTTGGCAATGATGAATGTATAAACAATTATGCAGAGAAATACAAAAAATGGAAAGGAGATGCTACTACTCGGTAAGAAACATTCTGTCATTTTTTTGAGATCTTCATAGTATATACATATGATATAAAATAAAATATAATAAAATTTAGTATTCAAGTAGCCTCTAAGTATCTTTATAAGATGTGTGTGTATGTGTGTGTGCGCATTATATATATATACATTAAATTGTTAAATATTTAATAGTATCAAACCGAACGAAAGACCCACAGCATATTATGTAGCCATAAGACACGGAACTTTTGAAGACTGGGATTTTTTGTGGAATGAATATGTTCATTCCAATTGTGCGACCGACAAAATTGTTATCTTAAAGGCTTTGGGATACAGTCAGAATACCACCATCTTGGAAAAGTAAGGCTTGAAATATACTCTGAAACGTGATTGAACTATCGCTACCGCTCGATGTATAGAAGTACTATTGTTTAAGATAGCAAAATAAAGATATATTGTAATACTTATTATAGATAATAAGTTATCTAGAAACAACTTAAACGTTTTCTAATTAATTGATATAATTAAGAATTTACATTAATAATATACAAGTAATTTAAATTTTTTAACATTTCTTGGTAGCGTTAATTTGACTTATATGTATAATCGTAGTTATAATTCCGATAGAAAAAAATTACGATAAAATTTAAGCAAATATTGTATGTACGCTATATAATATTTTCTTACAAAATTTATTTCTATTATTTTCGTGTAGATATCTGAACTCTGCCATTAGCAGTTATAGTACTAGCCGAATTCGTAAACAGGACAGTACAAGCGTCTTTGCAGCCGTTTATAATTCTGGCCTCCTTGGCGCGGAATATGTTCTTGACTTTGTGGAAAAATATCATCAACAGATGGAAGAATAGTAAGTTATTTTTATAATGCAGTCATTTTATACAATATTAATTCATAAAGAAAAACAGAATATAAGTACTTAATATTTTAATCACATAAATAAACGCGAGGTATAATATTTTAATAATGCACCTGCATACTAAAATGCATTATACATAATATAGTCTATAAAATATATTTTTTCAAGTTATTTTGAGCTTTACAAAATATTATTTAAACGATATCAACGGATATATTAAAAAAATCATTTTATTTCGTTGATATTATATACATATAACTTTCCGTTTAGCTACGGAGGACAGGGTACAATAGCCGCAATCCTCAATGGAGCATCGCAGCATTTCTCTACCGAAAATTTAGTAAACAAATTCGAAAAATTCATAAACGCTCACAAAACAAACTTCTCGTCAATTCAAAAATCTCTGGAGTACTCCTTAAAAGTCGCTAAATATGAATTAGACTGGTATAACTCCTATTCGGTATCTGCAACTCAATGGCTACAAACATACGACAACTTAGCATTTCGCCTACCCAGCAATATAAATCCTAAACATTACTTCATTTCTCTTACGCCTCATCTCAATGGCAATTTTACCTTCGATGGAAAAGTGACGATCAAAGCCGACGTTATACAACCAACAAATCAGATTATTTTACACTTGTCGGAAATTGAACCTTACGAAGTAATCGTGAAAGCCAATCAAACAGAAGTAGAACAATTAAAGACAAAATTCGTAGACCGATATGAATTCTACGTTATATATCTCAAAAAAGAACTAACTGCTGGAACAAAATTGAACATCAAAATCAAATACACAGGTCATTTGAATGCTGAACTTCGTGGCTTTTACAAAAGTTCTTACGTGAGTGAAAAAGGAACTAGGTAATGTTGAACATTATTATTATATTATTTATTCAATTTGTGCAAGTTATCATTAAATATTTACTTGAATATTCTTTTCTATTTTAAGAAATTCGCGTTTTTATAAAAAATATTTCTTTACACTTCTTATCTCTTGTCTCCTCTAATTTTTTAAATCTATTTGCTAAAAATAGTAACTTAATAAGTAGTAAAGAAATATTTTTTATATCTTATTTTCTTTTTATTTAAAATAACTCTAATATTTACGCTGCGCGGAGATTTACATCATAGAAGTCAGAAAAAATAGAAGAAGTAGGGATAATTTGCACACAACTGCTCTGTTATATGCTTTTATATTATATTAGTATTCTGTTACAATTTTAGTTCTTTACTGTAATTATTAATAAAATTGCTGTTAGTTAAATCAATGTAGTAAATAGCGCAATCATATATTATAACCTACATAAAATGATTATTATAGATATTGCAATAATGATTATTTAGTGATATATAAGTGTAGAGAGATAGTAATAGAGATAGTAATAGAGTAGATAGTAATAGAGTAGAGCAAAATACAAGTGCTTAGCTTATAATCTTTATTCATCTTAATGTCATGTATTGTATATGGGATATATATGGCATTTTTAGCGGACAGAATTTACTCAAAGCATTCAAAGTGCGCGGATTGAATTCCGTGCATTAAATACAATAGTGCATTACAATATTACATGTACCTTATATCGTAACACTTGTAATATATGCAAAATATTATAATTAATATCTATTATTTTATATACATATTTATTATTCTTGTTCCTTAATAAAACTTTGTAAACACATTTTAAGTTATTGTGTCATTTTACGTCTTATTTCTAAGCATTATTTGTAAGTTTATCATGAGCCACACATCTTACCTATGAGTAGTCATATATCCCACCTCTATAGACAGTACAAAGTTTTTACCGGTATAGTTCATTTAGCGTAAATAATACAGTAAATAATACTTGACAGATTAAGTTTTTGTTAGATGCGACGTATATATCGGAGTTACATTGACAAAAATTTTTTCATTAAAAATTAAATGTTTGATGTACTAGATGGCTTGCAGCCTCGCACATGGAACCCGTTAGCGCCAGAAAAATGTTCCCTTGCTTTGATGAACCAGCAATGAAAGCGAATTTCACTATTCAAGTTATCGTACGAGAAAATGGTTACAAACCTATCAGTAATACGGCGGAACACGTGCTAAGGATAATGTATGCACAATGTATTTCTTAAAAAGAATTTAATTGAATCTCTTTCTTACAACTTTGCATTAATTGCAAACACATTTTATTTTAATATTGTTATTATTATGATTTTTATCTCTAATAGAAAGGAAAATGAAACCTGATTAATAAATATTAATATCAATAAAATGTTAATATTAATATCTCTTTTGATGACAAACGTGTGCTTTAAATATGTTGTGTGTGTTTTGAATATTAATTTATTAAAAAATATTACAGTGTTAACAATAGAGAACATTATAAGTACATTTGCCATTTTAAGAACAAAATTGACATGACTGTTAAATCTCATTGAAACACAAAAATTAAAAAAAGTTCTTAAAAAATTGTTGCAGCGATGATGGTGCATCATATACCTTCTCCGAATCAGTACCGATGTCGACATATTTAGTGGCAGTTCTCGTTTCCGATTTCGAGTCTAAATCTAACGAAACTAACGGAATTAAATTATCTGTATACGCACGTCCCAATGCCATCAATCAAACCGACTACGCTCTATCTGTAATGTCTCAATTGATAAACTTCTACGAAACGACATACCAGCAAAAATATCCACTTACAAAACTCTATATGGCTGCGCTGCCCGATTTCGGAGCAGGAGCAATGGAAAATTGGGGCCTTTTAACATACAGAGAAACGAGTATGTTATATGACGAGAATCATTCGCCGATCACAAATAAACAAGATATCAGAAACGTGATTGCTCATGAACTCGCACATCAATGGTTTGGAAATTTGGTCAGTCCTCTATGGTGGAAGTATGTGTGGTTGAATGAGGGATTTGCTAGATACTTCGAATATCACGCTCCTGCTCGTGTACGTAATTAATACACTCCGCCGATGTAATGCCAATTTATTACATTTGAAATTTAAATCTTTAATACATATAGAATTTTTCAAAGAATTAAAGAAAGGTTTATAATTTTTTTAGACTGCAAATACGTCAATTACAATCTTTTTTACATATACATATCTTTCTACATTTTAGTATAATAATAAAATAAAAATAAAAATATTGCGCTTAAGTAATAAATATTTCTTTAAATAATAAATTTATTATTTACATTCCAGGCGTTTAATGACGAGACGTTGGAATCGCAATTTGTGGTTGACCAAGTACATTCTGCTTTCAAAGCAGACAGTTCTTCCTCTACACATCCCATGAGTCAAAATGTAACAACTAATCGTGAAATTCAGAGTATATTTGACACAATCACTTATAACAAAGGTGGTAGCATATTAAGAATGATCGAAAAAACATATGGAACTGACGTGTTTAACGATGCATTAATTGACTATCTTAACAAACGGTATATAATACGATAATATCTTTCTTATAATAAATATTCTTTTAACAAATTGAACGTTTTTCATTTTTAATAATGATAATGTTGTCAAACATTTACTGAATTAATTATTGTACATTAATTATGTTTTAGTCATAGATAAATATAGCTAAATAAATGTATGTTTTGAATTTGTAAAATGTAATTAATATTTTCATATCTCTAATTATTTGTGCATAAACATATTATCGGCTAAATTTAAATATTATTACAGTATAAAAGAAATTTTTAATTAACTGAATAATTTTTTAATATATTAAATATTAATATGTTAATATGTTTAATATATTTTTAATGTAGTTAAATTTTAGCAAGAAAACAAATTTAATTATAACAATTAAATTATAACAATTTAAAATTTTATTTTTTGAACGGATATTTTTATTAAGAAGAATAAATCACTTTTTAATTAATTTTTTAGAAAATATAACGTTGCCACACCGGACCACTTGTATGCATCACTTCAACTAAAAGTAGATGAGAAAGGATTAAAAGATGATGTCAAAGTTATCTTAGACACGTGGACAACTCAACCTGGCTATCCCATTGTTAATGTCTCTGTTTCAACAAATTTTATATTTTTGGAACAAAAACGGTTCTTCCCTAAAGAACATGAGAATACAACTGATGATACTATATGGCACATCCCAATTACATGGGCAGTAGTTCAGAATACTTCAGATTATTTTAATACCACGCCGAAATTTTGGTTGACAAAAAAAGCGACAATGAAAAGAAAACAATCGGACTTATCACCAGAATCACTTTTAATATTCAACAATCAGCAATCAGGTAATTATGCAAATCAAATTAGGAACTAACACAAATCAGAAAGAATGACAAATATAAAAATTTTTATATTTAATAATTTTTAATGTACGGATCTGCATTATTTGATGATATTCGCTATTTTGAGATTTTTGCATTTACAAATATTTATATTTGTTTTTAGGTTATTACCGTGTAAATTATAACAAACCACATTGGCTGAAGCTGATTGATTATCTTAAAACCCAGGACATTCAAACAATTCACGAAATCAATCGTGCAGCATTAATTGATGATCTTATGAACCTTGCAAGAGCAGACTATATTGATTACGAAACTGTTATATCTGCTACAATGTATTTGGAAAGAGAAAATAATTATTTCCCCTGGCGTGCATTCTTCAATAATCTGCCTTACTTAAACAATCGTTTTGTAGGACGCGATAATGAAGACATATATAAAGTACGTATGTCACAATTATATAAATCAAATTTTATTTTAAGTTGCAAATTTATTTTAACTTTTGAATCGTTATTCAATTTTTTTTATGTTTATTTTTACAAGAATTTTATAAACAATTCCGTAGAGAAAGGTTAATATGTATGATTTTCTTTTAGAAATGGTTAACATCGTTAATAGAAAAACTTTACGCACGAATTGGCTTTGAAGATTACAGCGATGATGATCTTACTAAGATATTAAGAATACACACTCGCAAATGGGCTTGTAAATTAGATGTAGCTGATTGTAAATTTTCCGCTGCAAAATATTTCGAACAGAAACAACGTTCAGAAATGTGAGTCCAAAAACAAATTAAAATATATTCCTTTTCTTCTTTAGTATAAAGCTGTTCTATAGTACATAATTTTGATATATAATTACACACACAATTAAAAACATAAAGATACAAATAAAAATGATATATATATATATATACATAATATCATATCAACTATTTAAATTATTGATTTTCTTACAGAATACCTCCAAATTACCGCGATGTTGTTTACTGTACAGCCATGAGAATGGACAAGACAAATAAAAGTTACACTTTTCTCTGGAATGAGTATTTAAATAGCAATGTGATCACAGATAAGCTTGTAATTCTTAATTCATTGGCTTGTTCAGAAAATAAAGATGTTTTAAAAATGTAAGTATGCATAATTATATTCTTTTTTTTATCTGTAAGTATTATCTGTCAAGAAGTTATAAAAAATAATTGAATAGCATTCGTAAAGTATATCTACACTTATCAATTATTTTATAAAATAACAGTATATGTTGTATAAAAATTACAAGGATATAATTTATTCATAAATTTTCTAATATTTATATTTATGATGCCGTTCTATTAACTTTATGAATAACAGACAATTTATTAACTAATTTTTTTAAAAATTGTAATGCTAAACTAATTGCATTAGTGATAATAAATTTATTTATTATTTCTTATATTAAATAAATTAAATTTATATAATTGAATAATTAAATTTATTTATTATTCCTTATATTAAATAAAGGTTGTTACGGGAGGCAGCCACGGAGAATTCACAAATACGGTATCAAGATAGTGCAAAAGTATTCTCAAGCGTTTACGATGAGAGTTTAGTTGGCGTTGAAGTTGTCATGGAAGTAATTGAAACGTATTACGATGATATACTGCACCGAAAGTAAGTAAATAACACTTTGTACAATAAAAATTCTAATACTGCAATATAATAAATATCGTTCTTATTTGTGTGTGTGTTTACAGTTTTAATGATTCTACCAAAATTGCAAATATAGTGAACGCATTGGCAAGCAGATTATCTACTTATGATCTCTACAATCAGGTAATTTATTATGTCATTTTAATTTAATTTTATTTAATCAAAATTGCAAGAAAAATATCTATATCAAATTTTAAAAATTTTTTATAAAAAACAATATAATTAAATAATTTTTCTGCATATATACGTGATATACATTTTATTAAATATTAAATTAAGAAAACAATTTAATAATAAAAGAAAATATTTGTAATATTAATAAAGCTTTATTTAAATTTACGTAAAAAATGTCAATTCTTTAAACTCGTTGAAGTACAAAACTTTTCTGTGTTATAATTTTTATATTTTATCAAATATTTATATAAATAAGACAAATTCTTAATAAAATATAGTTTAAATGAATTCTTCATATTATAATTAATCAACTAATATTTATTTAATAAAATTTTTTTTTTACTCGTAGTACCAAAAATTACTCGACTGGTTGGTTCAAAAAGAACCAGAATTCAAGAACTCTGTCACTTCTTATTTAGCAACGGCGAAAAATGAATTTGATTGGTATGAAAGAAAAGTTCCAGGAATTTTTAAAACATTGGACACTCTATTTCCCAGCAATACGTATCGCTTACCAAAAACGCTCAATCCAAATCTGTATAATATATCTCTTACACCTTACATGGAAAAGGGCACTTTCACAGGGAAAGTAAAAATACACATGACAGTTCAGGAAAACACTACTTTGATAGCTCTCAATGCTCACAAACTCAACATCTTAAGTGTCAAAGTCTTTAGAAATGACTCAGAAATAAATGTACAAAATTATACGACAAAACATATCCCACAACAACTAAGAATATATTTATCCAGCTACGTACATACAAATGAAAAAATAATAGCGGAAATCCAATTTAACGGAATTCTTAATGATGAAATGAATGGATTTTATCGTAGTTCGTATGTCGATAGTGACGGAGTGCAACAGTGAGTATAACATTCGTTATTATAATATACAATATTAATAAATAATACATATATCTAATATAATTTATTTAAAAAAATGAAAGCGTTTTGTAATCTCACTTTTCAACTTTTTAATTGAACTGTTATCACTTATGACTTAACATAAATGTTGATACGTAAAAATATTTAATAATATTTATAATTAATTATACTAGTTTTAATTTAATTTGATTTGTTAATTTTTTTATAGTTGGCTGGCTACAACACAGTTTGAGCCTACGTATGCTAGACAAGCTTTCCCCTGTTTCGACGAACCAGCGTTTAAATCAAATTTCACAATTAACATTCAAAGGCTAAATAATTATACTTCGCTAAGTAATATGCCACGCTTAACAGAAACTAAAGATCCAAAGTAATTATAAATGGAAATATATTTAACAAACTTTTTACTACTACTGCATGTTTCGCAGAATAATTTTCAAGTATAAAAAAATACCTAAATCAATAACATTATATTAATTATTTACTATTTAGGAACGATAGTTATATGTGGGACACATTCGCCACTACCAATGTCAGTATGTCAACATACTTGGTTGCATTTGTTGTCTCTAAATTTAAATCAGCGGTTGAGCCTGACAACGTAACTCTCAACGTATGGGGTAGACCAGAAGTCGCGGCATATGGCAAATACGCTCGAAATATCAGCATAGCAATTATTGACGTATTGCAAAATATTACGGACATTAATTATGCTTTACCTAAGCTGGACTTAATAGGAATTCCAGACTTCTCTATGGGCGCAATGGAAAACTGGGGCCTTGCTACTTTCCGGTAATAATATTACTTTTTCTTAATAATTATTGAAATAGGTATATGTTATCTATTCAAATTTAGATTTTAAGTAACTAATTTTGTATAAATAATCTAATTCTTTTATCAGCGAATATGGACTTTTCTACGACAAAAATGAAACTACAGCTACATATGAAAAATATATAATTACCGTAATAGCGCATGAACTTACTCATATGTGGTTTGGAGATCTCGTTACTTGCGATTGGTGGGATTATATTTGGCTTAACGAAGGTTTCGCGCAATATTTCGAGTCGTTCACATCTGATCGAGTACGTAATATTTTATATTTGAAATATAACGAATCATTTTTCTTTAAAAATTTGAGAAATCAACTAACATTTAATTCTTTTTTACTTTTAAAATTTTCTCAAATTTTTAAAAGAACGTGCCCGTTTACTGTGAAAAATTCAATTGTACAGTAATTTTTTAAAATAATATAAAGAACGCAGATATTATAAATAACAATATAATTATAAGTAACAAATAATTTTCAAATAGTAATAAAATTTCTATCCTCTAGATATTACCAGACTACAACTTCATGGATCAATTCGTGGTTTACGAGGTACATTCTGCTCTGTCACAAGATGCTTCGGTTTCAACACATCCAATGACAAATCCTGTTGAAACACCGGACGAAATAGCTGGTATTTTTGACTACGTCACTTACGGAAAATGTATGTATAATATTATATCATATAAAAATTATAATAATTAAAATATGTAATGTATAATATTAAACATATACACACTTATACAAAATATAAAATTGTTATTATGTAAAAAATTATTATGTGTAATTATTATTTGAAAATTTACTATTATAAACTTATTATTCCGAAAGCAATTAAAATATCAGAACAATTTTGTTTTTCCATTACAAATTACTTTATTATTAAATTAAGTAATTTATATATGTACAT